GGTAGTCGTTCACTAAATAACTGTGAAATAAATTATGCAACAACCGAATTAGAAGCGCTCGCAGTATTTTTTGCAGTTAAACAAAACCGTCATTATTTGTTAGGAAAATATTTCGAAATAGTTACCGATCACCACTCCCTGTGCTGGATGTTCCGATCTAAAAGTCCGACACGACGGATAGCCCGATGGGTACTTGAATTAGCTGAATATGATTTCAAAATTGTCTATAAATCAGGTGCTTATCATTTAGATGCCGATGCACTATCGAGATCGCCTCTAAAATTAACTAACGTTGAAATCGGTCAAATTGGTCAAAATGATCAAACTGGACCAAATTTTGATGAAATGTTGTTGAACGTAAATGACATCAATTTAGTTGAATTGCAACAGCAGGATGAATGGTGTAAGAATGTAATTAAAAAGTTTGAAAATATTACAAACAAACCCCAGTATATATCTGGAGGAAAAAGTTTCGAATTAATAGACGGTATTTTATATCGAAAAATCGATAATGGTTTTGGTCCTATTTATCAATTATTAGTACCGAAAATATTACGTAAAGACATACTATATACTAACCACAACGATCCGGTTAGCGGACACTTAGGAATTATTAGATGCTATGCAAAAATGAGGGAAAAATATTACTGGAAAAAAATGTTTCGGTCAATTAGTCAGTACATCAATCAATGTATAGATTGTCAAACAAAAAAGAAACCGCAGCGGAAACCTATAGGTTTTGGTCAGATAATGGACACACCTGTCATACCTTTCTCGACAATTGGTTGTGATCTTCTCGGTCCATTCCCTCTGTCTTACAATAATAAAAGACATATAGTCGTTTGTACTGATCATTGCACGCGTTATGTCATCACAGGTGCACTTGAGGATAGTAAAGCTGAAACAGTTGCAAATTTTATTATACATAATGTAGTACTTATATATGGAGCACCTGCAGTCATATTAACTGATCAGGGAAAATGTTTCACCTCAACACTAATGCAAAAATTGTTTGATTCATTTGATACAATACATTCACGTACATCTAGTTATCACCCACAAACAAATGCATTAGTTGAAAATTTTAACAAAACGCTAGCTAATATGTTATCCCAATATTGTGATTACGATCAAAAAAATTGGCCAGATAGTTTACCTTATGTCACTTTTGCTCACAATACTACTCCTCAAGAAACAACCAAATTTAGTGCCTACAAACTGTTGTTTGGTAGAGAAGCTAGATTACCGATAGACACCTTACTAAGAACACCAGTTATTGATGAGATACCAGAACTTTTTGAGCAAAATTTAGAAAATGCTAGATTATTAGCCAATACAAACATTAAGGATATGCAGTTAAAAAATAAGTATTATTATGATAAAAAGAGACTAAATATAGATTTTAAAATTGGTGATAAAGTAATGGTATTCACACCGATTAGGAAACGTAATCTGAGTACAAAACTTTTACATCGAATGTTTGGTCCATTCACCGTAACAGAAATTATAACACCAGTAACGGTAAAAGTAGTTAACGTAGACTCAAATAGATCCGAAGTAGTACATACTAGTAGATTAACAAAATTTAATGAGAATTTTGAATTGGAAATTTTACATGAAAATGACTTAACTGTTGAGCCAGTGAATGATTGGTCAAATTGTCCAAATCGGCCAACACAGACAAATCAGTCTAAAGATCTAATAAAAAATAATATTAAAAAGAAAAAGAAAAAACCAATTGTCAAGGTAATTAATAAACAAAATACGTTTAGAAAACACAGTAAATATGGACGTATATTAAAAGCTCCTGATCGCTATAGGTCTGAAAATTAAATTAAATAAATATTTTAAATCAAATTATTATAAAATAACTATTGTTTTTAGAATTGATGGATCGATTTATTAAAATAAAATGTAATATATTGCCTAAAAAACTATTTGTGAGACGTTAGCGCTAAAGTCTGCACAATATAGAAAGAAAATTAATGAATGAAATAAAAATAAATTGAATGAAAAATAAATTGATTAGATAAGAAATAAGAAAAAAAATAAGTGCACATTTGAAAATAAATTATGAAAAAAGTGAATAAAAAATGAGTAAATTAGAAAAATTAATTGAATTAAAAAAAATTGGGTTAAAATTAAATAAAAGGCAATTGAGTTTAAAAGTAATACATGATAGTTTTGACTACTGGACATATAGGTCAGTTTGATCGGATCGGCCGGTTTGATCAAACTGTCAGATTGTGCCCTAACATAACAGTCTGTATTTTAGTTTTGAAACTATAGTTAAGAATATGTAAATGAAAAAAGAAATAAATAAAATAATAGGTTATAAAAAAATAATTTTGATTTTAATAATGTTGAATAAATAATTAGAATTAAATAATTAAGTAATACAATTACCTTACAATTAACAATAAAAATAAAAAAAAAATAATGCGATTGAGTTAGAAATTACAAAAAAAAAATACAAAATAAATTACAGAATATAATCTTATCAAAATATTAGTTTTTTAAATAAAATGTAATAAATAATTTATATATCTATAAAAATATTATACCCACACACATACACATACATACATACATATACGCACACATACATACACACATACATACACACATATACACACACACATACACCCACACACACACATACACACACATATACACATATACAAACACATAAAAAAAACATAAAAACATATACAACCACATACAACCACATACAGACACTTACAAAAATAAGGTATACCATATCTATACCATAAGTATACCATATGTATACCATATGTATACCATATGTATACCATATGTCTACTATATATGTACATGTATATCATAAAAAACAAACCGCCCATACAATTTATCAAATATTACAGTGTTCAAGTATATGGTCCTGGTAATTACTGACTAGTGCTGCGGGTTCTAGTGTCATAGTAATAGTACCGGTGCAGCTCATACTACTAGTGGACAGGGATCTATATGTGGTATACCATAACTGAACAAACATGTAGAATGTAGACTATACATATAAAAACAAACATAAATATATTATTTTAATGTTATGTAATAAAATCAGATATAATGCCAATCATATAAATAAATCAAATTAAAAATATAATATTAAAAAAAAATATGATTTTATATCATATAGTTATAAATATATAGAAATAGTATAAAATGCTACTCATAATTATGTTATAATCTTTAACTATATTCAAGTGTTTTAATTAATATAGATTACAATAATTTAAATAACTACAAAAAAATATAACCAAATAATTATTTAAATTATAGTAAAAAAAAATAAACAACAAATATATATATAAAATTTACTAATTTTATAACTATTTTTGTTAAACAAAAAAAATAGAAAATTATGTAACTAAATGATAAAAAATTAAATAACAAATATCTAAATAATCAACAAATTACACGATAATTGAATTATTTTTAAAAAAAATAATTTTTATTTAAATTATATAATAATCTTAGTTATATGTTATTAAACATTTAACCATGGTAATATTGGCCAAATTGGCTAAATTGACAAAATTGACATATTTATACAGTAATAATTAAATTTAAATGAAAATTGTAAATACAGTTTAATGTTTAAAAAAAATAATAATTTTTAAACAATAATTTTCATACATATTATTTAAAAACGTTATAAAATAATGTGTGTTAAATTGAAATAATGTTTCTTAATGTGATTGTTTAGTTTGATTTACAATATAATAAAAAGTCTATATTTATAATACTAATATGTAAATCAAATTATTTAAAAAAAAAATATTTAGTAAACAAAACAATTTTTTTATTAGTACTAAAATAATATCTATACATAATTATATCATTATATTTATACACATAATTATAATTGTAACCTTAAAAAAATATTTAAAAATAATTTATCACAAATATTATTTTTTATAAAAAAATAATTTACTGTAATATTCTATATATTTTCTACATATATATTTGTCAAAATAGTTACAATATAGTTAAAAAATTGCCAAATTGGCAAAATTGATTAATTGGTTTAACTAAATATAGTTTCATAACTTTTAAGATATATATAATAACATAAATTAAATAATAATTTTTTTATTACTGTTAATTACTATTTACTATTGTTTTGACTAATTGTTTAAAAAGAATAGACAAAAAAAAGTAATTTTTTAAATGTTTTTTTTAAACAAAAAAAAATGTATGTTTGAATTAGATATCAATTATTGTTATATATACCCAAACAAAACAAACAAAAAACAGCCTAACTAACGATATGAAGTTTGGCGTGAATTAATGTCGAGGTGTTCATCATGTAGTGCTTTACTTTCAGGTGATTGTGTATGTCGTGGACAGTCGAATTAGGTCCGGTAGCCAAACATTGCCCACATATGGGACAACAAGGCGAGTATAACCGGAAAAAAACAAATTGATGAACAGTCCTACCGGTTAACACTTCCCATCCCATATATGACGATTTTTGATAGCTTTCAAACAATCGTTGTTTGTCTTTAACTGCGTTGGCGTTGGTCAGGTGTCCATACAGTTGGATGACTTTTTGATTACTTCCAGAAATAGTTTCTAAATATCCAGATTCGGTGGGAATTATGTCGGGACTTAAACCCCAATGAGATCCCAATTTGATAGCTCGGTTAGACTGTGATACCATATGTAGTCTACGATCAATGGGAACATTGTGACCGTCATTTGTCCACTCAACGCCTCCCAGACTAACTTCATCGACACCGTCAACCAGATTGTCTTCAACATCTGTGTTATCGTCTGAATCGTTCAAATTGTCCAAATTGTTCGAATCGGCCGATCCCTCATTGGCCAAAACATTAAGCCAGTTAACACCTAACATATCAGGCCCGACACTCTGAGCAAACTCTTTACTAAAAAAAATAATAACTATTAACTAAAATATTCAATAAGTGAATAATAAAACCTTACAATTGATCACCGATTGTGTCAAATCTCTGTTTATACGACTCGACTATATTAAGTGACTCTTGTAATTCAAAGTGAAGTCTATTGACATCAGCTGTCAATTGAGGACAACGATTGCAGATATTTTGCTAAAGAAACTAATTATAACAACATTTCTAATAATCAACTAAAATAGATAATACCTGTACTCCAGAATTCATACGCTTACGTTTATTGCCAGTGTCTCTGTTATCGAGATATTCATCACCCGATTGGTCCATTGAGACGTCAGTGTCGTCCATGGGTTCAGCTATAAAGTTATCAATTGAAGTACTAACCCGTCCAGACATTTGACTGCTGGCCATTTCAATACATTTGGCGGAAGCATTACTGAAACGAGTCATCCATTTACCAAAATTGCGTCCACACGTTCCTAACTTATTGACGGCCAATGCGAACATTTCATCATTGAGTGAATCCAAGTCCTCCAGAGTCGGAGATTCTGGTAAACCTGTTGTTGATTGAATACGAGTGGGTGTCCTGTAATGAGTTATAAGAAAAAAATTTTAGTAATAATATTGTATAATAAGTCTAAAACATAAAATTGATCAAATCGGCCAAATCGGCCAAATCGACCAACACTTGAATTGTAACGAATAACAGTTGAATACAAACCGTAGTTGTGTGTTGTCAGAAGTCTCAGCACTTGTAGTACCCAAACACTGGCCATCGGTATCGGTATTAATGGGTATCCCGTTGTTGGCCTCATTTACAGACAAACCATTGTCATCGTTGGTATCGTTAACAGCAATAATAGGATTACTATAGTCGGCGCCGATATCTGATACTCTATAGTGCTGTACGGTATCTGTGTCTGAATGAACAGTCGTGTCAATAACAGATTGAACAACACTGACGACTCGATTATGACTATCTCTGTCGATATCGATCACCAATCGATGGTCAACTGAGTCATCGCTTTGATCACCAAATATATCCCCAGTTGTATCGCCGACTGTACCATCATTTTTGTCAACAATGTTGGCATTACTATTGATACCGATTTCGGTAGAGTTATCATCGATATCATTGACTATTGGGACAGTATTGTCGTCCGATCGACTTTCGGGTTGTCCACTGGTAGTGTCATCAATGGGGTTATCAATAGTGTCATCCAAAGCACCGATTCTTTGCTCAGCAATTGTTTCGGCAGATTGACTGTCGTTTTGACCACTATTGGTCTCATCAATTGTGTCGGCAATCGTCTCATCAATTGTTTTCTCATTTTGATCGTGTGTTTGACCGCCAACTGATTGATCAAATAATATCTTAAAAAAAACATTAAAAAAACAATCAATAATTAGTTTAAAAAAAAATATATTGTAATTAATAATAATATTAATCTAATTACCGATCGACTGGAATCCATTGAAAAGAGTATAACAAACAAAAATATTTTTAATTAATTTAAAAAAATACTAATTATTTTTTTTAACAAACAAAATAATTTGAAACTTTTTGGTTAAACATTATTGAAACTACAAATAATTTCATATAAATCACGTGATCTGTGATCAACTGTTTTTTTTTATTGTTGACCAATCATGTGATCAGTAGCCATACAATACTAATATAGTATATAATATTTCAACTCTGACTGATTTTTACTAATTAGCTTATTATAAAAAAAATTATAGATTTTTATTTCAAAAAACTTTTTATATATAAAAAAGTTTTTTTAGTAATATTTTATTTTACGTTATTTTACAAGAATTAGATTTTAATTTTAATTATAATCAAAATATCATATTATTTTATAATAATTTTAAAATATATTTAAGGACTAAATTGGCGTTTAATGTATAAATTAAATATATTAAATGATTGTCATACAAAATAGACTAGGATGACCAGTTTGACCAAAATGATCAAATCGGTCAAAAAGTTTATTTTGTGTAGACATAGTGTGCCCACTTCACCCAATTTATGTAATAGGTTTTTCACCTAAATTATTGGTTTGTAATCATAATTAAAGGTTTTCCCCTATTAATTAATAGTGGAAATAATTGTACTGATTGATAAGATAATTAGTATTAATTAAATATTAACTATATATATATAACAACTTTAAATTTTTATAATTGTTTTATTGTAACGGTTGGCTTTTATTTAACTGTGGGGGGATAAAACATAATAATATATATTACATATATATTATAGTTTTGGTAGCTAAGATTATATAATTGGTTAGTTTAGATCAGCCCATGCATGACATACCACACCTCCCTCTCCAGCTATATAAGAGTCAACCGACCCTAACTCGGGGTCTTGATATTGTAGTCGTCTTTTATAATCGTATATGTTTTGTAATAGTTTTTTTATTTCGTTTTTAACAGTTTTTAGTACTTTTGTACTGTTCTTATTTTGTCTAAGTTTTATACTTTTGTATTAAGTATTTAATTTTGATACTCAACAATAAAGTAATATTATTTGATAATTAAAATTGTGTGTTAAATAACAATTCATACAACTATACTGGTGCTGGGGAAAGGGTGGCGCAAGAAACGCCAGTACCGACCGGATCGGCCAAATCGGCCAATCACTTGGGTGGGACAACTGGATGTGTTTGAAGAGTGCTCTACATTTTGACGACCAGTTGTACGGCCGGTACAGCCTTCACAGCCGCTAACCCGAGTTCGGTGCAGCGCTCGTATACAGACATATATTGGCAAAATATATGTTATGTTGTAATATACAAAAACCCAAATATATACTACTTGTTAGTTTCGATAATACTAACAAAATTAGTAAATTAATTGCTAAAAATTTCAATATCCACCAGTAATTACTTGATGTTGTAGTATCAAAATAGCCTATCAATGCTAAATAATAAGCATATAATTCAACTAGGCCAATTGTTAAGGTAGTAAAATAAATTTCAATGTTTAACAATTTGGCCATTAGATTGCATTTATAGGTTATTTGTTTCAATTGAATTGGATTATGTAATTGATATTCAAATCTATTGTATTTGATTTTATAAAAAATTTCCATCCAATATAACTGTTGAATCAATTCCTGATAGTTTAGTACAGTTAACATAGAAATTGCTGTAAATATACCGATACTTATTGCCAGTCCAATAAGTCTAGGATTGGCTATCGTATAGTTTGGATCGCCTAATAGATCCCAAATCCATAACTTTAAATATAAATACATATAATTTATATATATATTAATTTAAAACAATAAATAAAAAATTTTTAATAAATATTATTACGGTATATACCTCATTGATAATAGCTGTTACCAGAAATTTTAGACAACATATGAATAGTATAAACTGTGTTAACAATACACAGACAACTCTACGTTTAGACAATTGTTGTCTACAAACATAACTATCAAATGAATTGTTTAGACTTATATAATATCGGCGTAGAATTGATTCAATAATTTCAATAAATGGTTTAATACTAGTATAGTTGTCATTATTATTTGGATTTATTATCAGTTTATTTAAAAATAATGATTTTATTTTATTTATTAAATTCATAGTTTAATATAACAAAAAAAATTAAATAATAAACAAATTTAATATTTAAATAAGCAATAAATATATTATTATTATTATTATTATATTTTAATTTATCTATAAGTCTGAAAATATAATGTATCTGTTTTTAAATATTTTATATTTATGATTAACAATTATAATGTTATTTTAAAATTAAAATTAGATAAATATTGTGTGAAAATTAAAATCTGTCGTAAATTATTATGTATTAATACAAAATAATATATAAAATTTATTTTCTATTTTTTTGTATATATATACTGTATATATTGAATATATATTTTTATATATTTTTAAATATTTTTAATATTATTTATATTATAAATAATTATGATATTTCGTGTAAATTTAAATGAGTCACTGACTTACTAATAGCCTATCGATTATCGATATTCAACAAACAGCCCCAAACAGCCCAAAACAGCCCCCAAACAGCCCCCAAACAGCCCCAAACAGCCCCCAAACAGCCCACAAACAGCCCCAAACAGCCCCCAAACAGCCCACAAACGCAAAACGCAAACCCAAACGCCTGTTAGTTAGATATTAATTATCGAAACAATAATTTTTTAATTTATTTATTAATCTACTTTTAACCAAAATATAAAATATTTTATTTACGCTTTTTATCTCTAATTTTAATTGAAACATATTTTAAATTTAATTAAAAAATATATATATATATTTAATATAAATATAATATAAATATAACATCTATTATTAATAATAAACAATTTAATTAATAAAAATATATTTAATATGTTATATTTTATTAATTGAATTTTTTATTTTTTAAAAACAGACGTTATATTTATATTTATATTTTTATTAAATATATTTTTTTAAATAAATATTTATAAAATAATTTAATTTATTTTATTAATTGTACTATGAATTTAATATTTAAAATATTGTTTTATTTGATTTATTTGACTAATTTGATTTAATTAATAATTTTTTTTAAAATTATTGAAAAATTTCTAAATATTTCAATCGACTATAGGCTGAAAATGCATAACTTACAGTAAAACCCATATATATATAATATACTTGTAAACTTTGATAATACTAACAAAATTTAGTAAATTGATTGTTAAAAATTTTAATATCCACCACAAGTAATTACTTGATGTAGTTTATTAACTAATAATGTTTTTATTTTATGTATAACATATTCATAATTTAATATAACTTTAATATGATTTTTAAAATAATAAACAAATATATAAAACAATAAAAAGAAAATATTAGTATTATTTTTATTAAATTTATCTAAAATTCTTGAAAAAACTTTAATGAATCTGTTTTTTTTGTTTATTTAGTTAATTATGACAACAATTATAAAGTTATTTCTAAATAATAATTATTTATATATATATTGTGTAATTAATGCTATTAACCTATGTTTTGTATTAGATAAATATATATTATAGTAATTATATAATTAATAATTAAAATATTACGTGTAATATTGTTTAACAAAATAATATAATAAAATAAGTTTATATATTAAAGCAATATTTAATAGTAAATAAAATTCTAATGTCTATAATATAAAAATAATATATAAATCAATACAAAACAAATCAATAAATATTAAGTGTATTTATCTAAAAGTCTGAAAATATAATGTATCTGTTTTTTGAATTTTTTTTTGTATTTATAATAACAATTATAATGTTATTTCTAAATTAAAATTAGATATATATTGTGTGTGAAAATTAAAATCTGTCGTAAATTATTATGTATTAATACAAAATAATATATAAAAATTTATTTTCTATTTTTGTTTATATATTGAATATATAATTTATTATATATTTTTATATTATTTATATTATAAATAATTATAATATTTCGTGTAAATTTCAATGATTTTATTTTTTTTCAAGTCAAATACACTATATAAAATTTCTAACTAATATTATATTTAGTCTATTTAATATTAAAATATAATTATAGTTTAACTAAATTTTATATTAATATTGTATAATATAAATATCTTTTTTTAATATTTTTAATTAATTACACAATTTTACACAATTAAAATCTAATTATTATAATTTGTTTATAATATTTAATTTTACTAAATATAATACATTGTATAATAATAAGTTTTTTAAATAATTTTTCATTTTAATATTCATAAATATTTATTTATAATTATTATACTGACATTTTTAATAGTTATTATTAACACATAATTATTATTATTAAATAATATAATTAATATTCATTAATTTTTTAAACTGTATAATAAAGAAAGCACAATAATAGTAAAAAAAATATTTTATATTATCTTATAAATTATAAAGTTTTAAATTATAAAAAAAATATAATTTTTATTTTTCTTTGTTGTAAATAATAAGAAAAAAAGTTATGAAAAAATTAAAACTTTAAATTTTAATTATTTATTTTTATCAACAATTAGTACGATATAATTAATAATAACAAAAATTACAATTTAATAATATATTTATTATTAAATATTTTTCAATAAATTTTATTAAATTTAAAATGTAATAAAAAAATATATAACCAAAAAAAATAATAATTATTATTCTTTATTACAAAATTTTATTAAATGTTTTTAGAAGTAAATCTATTTTGCAAAAAAAATAATAACTTGAAAATTTCTCTCAAAATTATTAGTCAATAAAATAACTATTTTATATTCATAATAAAATAAACACAAAAAATAAGTAAAATAAAATAAAAAATTTAACAAATCAGAAACTTATTATTGTTATATATATATAAATATTTATATTTAATTACACAATTAATTGATTTAGTAAAATCAGAATTATTGTCATCTGTTTATAATATTTAATTTTTTATAAAAAACATTGTATAATATTAAGATAAAAATGA